ACTCTTAAGCAGGCAGTCAAGTCCAGTTGGGAGGAAAAGATAATAGCACTGGCACAAGGCCAAGAAAGCTGGCACGATTAAAGCGGAGAAGAATCCTAAGGGTTCCTTCTGGGATTCAGAAGAATCCCTTATCTCATAAGGGGGGAAAGAAAAACAAACACAACCCCCCCTAAATAATGAGGTATTTTTCAGCCTAAATTAATATGGTAATTGTGTTTATGTGCCTTAAAAAGATAACATTTCTGAATATGAGCAGAAAAAGGCAGTTAGGAATAGTTGTGAGCTCAGCAGCAATTTTACAGTAAACCTTGTGCTATTATAACTGGTGTCATCACATTTACTGTTCTATAAACTATAATAATTCCACCGCACAGCAAAATAGTAGGACTGAATTGTTCATTTTCAGTAGCTGCTGTAGTGATGCAGAGCTGGGTTTACTGAAGTATCAGCATTGCCTCATTTTGTGAGAAGTTGGTAAGCTTCTGTGGTGAATCATTTCATACTGGAATTCCCTAGAGCACACAGCGTGCCTATGTATATGTGCCAAAGCATCTAGCATCACTGCTCATCACGTGAATAAGACCCCATAGGTTTAAAAATGGCTGCTTGGGCATTTTAACTAATGCTCCTTGAATGAGCTATAGTTAAAGCGCCCTGCAGCCATTTTTAAATACATAGGGACTTAATACACATAACACTGGTGTGTTTTAATTAGAGTGGCTCTCCAGGGACTGCTCTAAATAAAACAATCCACCCCCAACCATGTGTATAGCATGTGTATAGTACCCACAGAGCCTATAGCACCTCCATGAGAAGTGAACCTGCATCTTGTGATGCATTGAATGTTAAGTATCTGCTTTGAGGTGCTGTGCCAAGTGCTGTTATCTCCATTACTACAGGTTCCTATAGAAAAGCTTATGTGCTATAGGAAGGCTTGTTTCCCAGAGATTTCCAAAGCACATGCACAATATTAGCTCTTCCAGTCAAATGACATCAATGTGAAAGTGATCTTAAGCTTTTGCAAGAAAGAAGTTTAAGGGACAATTGTCTGGGGGGTTTTTTGCAGTGGCTTCTTTTTGTTTCTGTTTCTTTTCTAATACTTTCCTAAATACTGATTTCAATGGGAATGGGTGACACTTACTCAATGTTCTACAGGTATTGTGTGAATCTCAGGGTAGGGCCCTAAATTACACATCCATGACTATACAGCTACTAAAAATAGTAAAATTCTATGGACCATATAACTGTTTTGAATATGTGATTCTTTTGATTTATATACTGCTTAATTCTTTTAATTTTTTTTATTTTTTTAGGCAACCATCGATCCTCTGGATCATGGTGTATGTGTAAGAGAGACAGTCAAGTGCCTGATAAGTCACCTTGTGGCTAACAAGGCCAACTGGAGAGCAACGCAGATTGTTACAAGTTTCACAGATCCATCTGCGGATAGTTGGACTCCAAGTTGATAGCACATTGCTTCCTTCTTTCTCACTTTGCTTCCATCCTCTGGATCAAAGCCGTTTCACGTTGAGCTCCACCCACTGCCAGATGTTCCCTCCAGGTTGGACGGATTCTATGTACTACTCCCAGCTTTTTACATTGATGTTGAATGACTTTATATAATTTTTGCACACATTATGGTATCACCATAGTGGGTGACCATGTCTTGAGCTGTCTTGAAATTTGCCATACAAAATACTTTTGGGGAGAGTCTCTTCTCACTCGTTTGACACAGCCTCCTCTTCTTAATAGTTGTTTCTAACTGTGTCAGTCCTATACATTCCTGTACCTCTGTTTTTGGCATTTTGTCTTCCCACTTTATTATTAGGATCTATGCAGGCATTTCATGCGGAAGCTGTTCGGTTTCCTGATGTGCCTGTCATATGTAGTCTATATTTCTGTACCATAAAGCAGAGATGACAGCACATAAGTCTCATAAATTTGCATCTTTACCTTAGTTGATCATTTGTTGTTATTCTATGTACGGTTTTGTAATTGCCCCAAATTAGCTGCTTTTTCAGTTCTATTCATCAGTTCAGTCTGGAGGTCAAGATTCCTGCT